CCTTATATGTTATAGTAAAAAAGTTCTTTAAAAAATATAAAATATAAGGTTTTATATTTAGATTGATTTTCGATCAAATTTAAAGTATTATAATTTTAAAGCTTCCGACTGTAATTCTTAGTTCTTATTGAATTTTCTCGAAACAGGTGCCAAAGCAAGTATCTGTTGCCAGTATTATCACGTTCTCGTACCGAGAAACAAAATTACATGACGAGTTTACGTTTAACTCTATTCGAACCGCTGTCTCAGATACTGTATGTCTACGGAGTAGTGAAGACGAAAGACGTGCTATAAAAGAGAAGTAAGAAGATTCGATCTATGTGATAATGAGACTCTTCCCGGTATACAGACGTATAACACCGATCTACCCATTTTACTCGCATCGGCGGCTCGTCTTTTCGTTTTACGCGTTGACTGCTTTTTATTGTTCAAATTCTCAATCGATATAAAATGTCACGCTCTCAATAGATCGAACCCATTGATTTATTATGCTATTCTCCATATCTCCCTATATATATATGTGTGTGTGTGTGTGTGTGTGTGTACTTTACAATGTGTTTTCATCACGACTGACTCAGCGATTGTTTAATTAAATTTCCTTACTTGTATTAAAGGTACTATTAAAGATAGTTATCTATCTAAATCTACTTATCAATTTTGAAGTTCTGAAAGAAGATAAAAGCCTTTCCTTGATCTTTTACGAGTACTCTCGAAATGCTCTTATAATTTGTTCACAAAAACTGAATAAGCATTACGTATCTCTATTTAAAGGCAAAAGAGTCTTAGGAAAATTTTCTGAACCCGAAAAAATATTAAATACTGACAATCAATTTTCGATAGTGTGTTACAAAAAAGTAAAATTTTTTGAAGTTAATTTGTACTAAAAATTTGAATGTGCAACCATGCAAAGAATACTGCAAAATATCAAATTATACTGAGAAAATTTTACTAAATTTTAATAAATATTTGCCTGAATTGGTAATTTAACATTAGGATAAATAATATTTACTCAATAAAAAATGATAATTAAATCAAATTAATGATTTTTATATCAACTAAATATACATTTAGTTTACATTTAGTAAATATTCCAGTCTTATTTTTATATTCAACAGTTTTATTATAACAAATTTTATTAAAATTTAGTACATTTTTTGTGTATAATTGACACTCGTTACACTGAAAGAAAAGAGTTGCCGTTTCAAAAAAATATTAGTTAATTCAAATGTAGTCACGGGCTGTTTAAGTAAATAATATTTATTAATTTAAACAAACATTTGTTAATTCAAAGTAATATATTGACATGATTTGTATATATTTAACTTAAACGTATAAATACTCAAATTAAATAATCGCTACAAACTAAATGCATTTAGTTCA